TGCTGATCAGTATTTTGAAGACCAGATTTTAAAGAGCTTCTTGAAACCATGAGAGCAACACGTGCTGTGTGAGGGCAAAGGGGTTTTGGGGCAGTCATGTCCCCCAGCCCTTGGCATCCCCACTTTCCCACTCAGCCTCCTGCGTGACTTTGAGCAAGGTCCCCTCTTGTCACTTGGTGGCCAAAAGCCACCACATTCCCACCTGCAGCAGCCCCTGGAACTCAGTGAAAGATGCCCCCCACTTTCACCAAACCTATTTATACTTCTGAGGCTTGGCCACTTCAGTGTCCATCACCACATTAAAATCTCAGTTACTTCTGCATATATTTAGCCCCTCTACTCCAGCTCACGTTGCACAAAAGGGAACCACAGCCCCTAACCTGGGAAATGACAAACTATTTTCTTTCCCTGGGGATGGAAATCAGTTCCTAAGAGCTGGGATGACTCACTTCTTCGCTGCTGAAGCTGTATTCAATCCCAAGCACCCCTAATTCTGACTAAAAGGCAGGAGCCAAGGCATGGGGGTTCCACCAGCACAAAGTCCAGGAGCTCATATTCCTGGAGATGAAAGAGCCATTAATGAATCCCCTGCATCACCTACTCCCCCAGGATGGGCTCGGCTGCCTTCAGCCCTCACTCCCTGCCTCCAGCAGCTATTTTTTCCTGTTCTTGCTAGTGTCAATATGTTTCTTTAAATATCTTTTCAGAGAGGCTGTATATTTAGCCCCACTCTGGTGCTTTGAGAGGAGACTCATTTCCTGTGCAAGAACTGAAGTTCTTGGCAAAGGCGCCGGCGGCTGCAGCATCTGAACCACAAAACTGGTGGGGTTTTTTTGCAGTAGTTTAATGGTATTTCCTCCATGACTGTGAGTTGAACCGAGCTGGGTCTGGTGTCTGAAAGCAAGAGGGCTGCTGTGAATGGGAGCCGTGGTGTCATATTCCCAATTAGGCAAATGCAAAGGGATTAACTGGGTTCCCGGTGGTGTCTGCAGGTGGCACAGCCCCTGGCAGGGGCAGGGGCAGAGCTGCCTGCAACCTGCCCTTGGCTGTGAAAAAATGTGGGTCCCACATCAAAAGGGTTTATTAACCAAGACTGAGGGAGGGAAAAAAAAAAAAAGGCCATTTCATTTGACATCACTTCGTGCCTGATTTGTTTTCTCCCTTCTTCCACACGGGTCTCTGCAAGCCCGGGTTCTGAGAGGGCTCCTCCAGCAGCAGGGCAGGAGGGAAGGGCTGGCAGAGGGATGGCTCAGGGATACTCAGGACCCTAACAATCTTTTCAAGGAGACAGGGATGAAGGTTCAGCATCCCCATCAGCTCCACAGGAAGTCCCCATAGTCTGACACCCTGCATCATGTCAGGGACCTCTTTTGATGGGAGTGATGATGCAGGCAGATCAGCAAGCCCCCAACACAGGGACATGGACGTGTTAGAGAGGGACTTTGGACAAAGGCAGGGATGAGGGGCAATTATTTCAAACTGAAAGAGGAGAGAATGAGATTGGATATGAGAAAGAAATTCCTTGTTGTGAGGGTGGTGAGAGCCTGGCCCAGGTTGCCCAGGGAAGCTGTGGCTGCCCCATCCCTGGCAGTGTTGAAGGGCAGGTTGGATGGGGCTTGGAGCAGCCTGGGCTGGTGGGAGGTGTCCCTGCCCATGCAGGGGGTTGGATCTGGATGATCTTTAAGGTCTTTTCCAACCCAAACCAGTCTGGGATTCCATGAAGTATATCTTTCCAGGGTAATTTCTGAGTCATAAATTCCTTTTCTTGCTGGTTCAGAAGCAACACACAGTCCTAAGGATCCAGTGAGCAAAGAGGTAAGAGAAGGTGATGGCCACAGGCAACCCAAGTGGTTCATGCTCCACTTCACTACTGGTGACTTAGAAAAAAAAATGCAGTCAAAGGAAACAGAGGCCAAGTTTTTTAGTTCTTTAGATTTTATGGAGGAATTTTAAACAAGAAGTGTCTTCTCCTGACACTCACCCTTGGGACTGTCCATCCATCAGGATGGATCACCCTTGGGATTGTCCCCAGTGGGTAAGTGCACAGGGACCTGATGGGCACATAACCTGCTGCAGGGCACCTGCCACAAAGTCCCAGCAGACACGAGCTCTGGGGGACAAGCAGGAAACTTCTGCCCCTTCTACATGGATGTCCTCATCACTGGGACCCAGCAGCACCTCCAGACCAGGCAGCCTGTGGGGCATGATGGGTTGTGATGAAGCACGGCCAGGGCAGTGGAGCAACCCCCAGGACAGGGGGAAGTAGAGGAGAGGTATGTTGTCATCTTTGCAGGCCAGAAGACAACACGCAATCCCAATTTACTGTTTTCCTTCTGCTCAGAGGCCACGGGGGCAGGAAGCAGGACCAGAGCTCAGCACATGTCCTGCTGGGACTCCAAGGACTCTTCTCTCATCTTTGCTTTCCAAGCACATTTGCCTCTCTCCAGCACTCAGCTTCCCAAAAGAGGGAAGGGGTTGGTGCTCTGGCTCAGGAGCAGCTCAGCAGAATCAGGTTGGGTCAGGAAAGAGACCTCCCACACTTCCAGTTTCCCAGGAGCCAGCTGGGATGCCATGTGCCACCTCTGTGAGTCTGTGGTTCTGACTGCACCAAAGCCAACCAGCCCCTGGCCTGGCTGGGAACCATTCCCCATAGCAGTTCAAAATACGAGTGAAACAGCAACACAGCCTGGCTTGTCACCCCAGGGTGCATCCCCTACATCCCACAGAAGTCCTCTGTCCTTCTGACTCAGCTTTCACCCTCAAGACCATGACTGTCCAACCACTGAACATCTGGTCTGTGCCAAACCAGCCAAGCAAGTTAGCACAGAATGAAATTTGCTCCTCACCACCATCATGGCATGGGGATGTCTGCTGTGGACAACCATGAAGCAGGGGAGGGACACTCAAGGAGGGAAGATCCCCACACACCAATCTGAATGAGGAGGTCTTCAAACCTTCCCTGCAGAGCCCCAACACCAGCACATGCTCCTAAATACAACCAGGAGAACCCGAAGGAGATATGAACACCAGACTCAGAAACCATGTGAAATACAAAAAGTTTATCTCAACATAGGGCAGAACTGTCCCTTCTGGTGGTTTTTCTCCCCCCTTAGTGACCTTTGCTCTGTCCAAAGATTTGTTCTACCACTTGAGGCAACGAGCAGTGGTGAATCACACCTAGTGCTTCAAACACCAGCAAAGGGCAACAGTCATCACAACACCCACCCCCCTCACAGCAGTGATGCCTGCAGGGTCTGCAGGCCAGAAGAACTGCAGGGCTTGGTGTCCCTTCCCTTGAAAACTACCAGTGTTGATGGCAAAAGAGGAGCCCTTGGAGTGTGTCCAGACCAGGGAGGGTTCGATGGCCATGGTTCCTGCTCAGCAGGCAACAAGGACAACGCAGGGACACGAAGCTTCAGCATGTCCTCAGGTTTCTCACATTTGCATCATCAGGAAAACTGAGACACCTCAGTAACTGAGGGAGAAGAAAAGAGGCCACAAGGAAATTTATTCCTGTTTGTCCCCAAGCCAATAGACAGATGTTCTCAGGGCAGAGATGTTGTGAAACACGATGGCCACTGTGAAAGCATCCAACCACCAGAGCTCCCCACCATCATGTGAGTGTCCTGCAACAGAACGTCCCCCCACCACCAGAGCTTCACACCACCACACCTGTCCCACCACCACCAGAGCTTCCCAGGGTGCTCTCCTTTTTCCAAGCTGAGTCCACACAGTGCCAGCCCCACAATGGGGTTATTCAGACTCACCAAAGGCCCATCTGGGCCCACCTTCTGCCTGCTCAGGCTCTCTTAGTCCTGAATAGTCTTCATGGTGAATGTGTTGCTGCCATGAGACAGGCAGGTCTGGAGGTGAGGAGGGGATGAAGAAACGTGGGTAAAATCTTCTTTTTAAAAGTCATTTAACGATTAAACTTTTCTTAAGAAAAGTCACTTTCAAAAAAACCCCAACACAAACCAACAAACCTCCCAAGACCCAAACCCCAAGTTTCTATTAAAAACCTCAGAAAGAAGAAGTTTGACAAGAACTGTGGTTGACTAACGTGTGGAAGATCTGAGGGCTGCCGAGCAAGTTCCCTAAACTGGAGAGAGAGAATTATGAAATAAATTTAAAAAAAGGAGAGGAAAGAAAAAAACCCAACAAGTAAGAAAGGAAATTGCACAGAACTGAACACACAGATGAACAAAAAGCCAGGCAGGGACTGAGCTCCTGAAAGCAGATGTGGGATCATTTGTCTGCAAATCACAGAATCACAGAATCACCAAGGCTGGAAAAGACCTTTCGGATCATCAAGCCCAGCCTATGACCAACACCCCCACATCTCCAGACCAGGGCACCAAGTCCCACCTCCAGCCTTGCCCTGAACACCTCCAGGGATGGTGCCTCCACCACTGCCCTGGGCAGCCCATCCCAGTGTCTGATCACCCTCTCCATGGGGAAGTGCTTCCTGATGTCCCACCCAAACCTCCCCTGGAGCAGCTTCAGGCCAGGCCCTCTTGTCCTGTCACTGGTTGCCTGGAAAAAGAGCCCAACCCCACCTGAGCACAACCTCCCTTCAGGTGGTTGGAGAGAGTGAGAAGGTCCCCCCTGAGTCTCCTCTTCTCCAGGCTAAACACCCCCAGCTCCCCCAGCCCATCCCTGTCAGACTTTCCCTCCAGTCCCTTCCCCAGCCCCGTTGTCTCCCCTGGACCTGCCCCAGCACCTCCAGCTCCTTCTTGCAGTGAGGGGCCCAGAGCTGCCCCAGGACTGGAGCTGAGGCCTCCCCAGTGCTGAGCACGGGCAGAATCACATCCCTGCTCCTGCTGGCCACACCATTCCTGACACAAGCCAGGATGCCACTGGCCTTGGGGCCACCTGGGCACTGCTGGCTCCTGTCCCACCAGTTGTCAACCAGCAGGACAAGGGAGATTAGTTGCAGCTCACTGGGACACAGCAGCAGTGCGAGGGCTCACGGTGCTGGGTCTGGGGGTGCTGAGCCCACCACCCCCTCCAGGTCTGCCCTTCGGGGGGCAGCAGCTCTGGGGAGCACTCAGGGATCCCACCAGGTCGTTTCCTGACACTAAGGACCAGGCAGGGGATTGCACGTGCAAACGAGTCCCAGTTCTACCATCAGGGCTATAAATAATTGATCTTCGAGGTAATTTGAGCACGGAAGGTAAGGAGACTCCTTGTGCATCATCTCCCACCCAACCTTCAATCCTGATGTTTGTCTTTCTGCAAAAAAACCCCCAACATACCTCAGAGCTGATCCTGGGGGGTTTATTTCCATGACTAAGCCACCACCATGTGCTGCTCCCACGTGTGGATTCCCAGCTGGACCCTGGGCCCAGGTCCTGTTCCCTCCTCATGCTCCCACAGCAGCCAATCCTGACGGCCCCACCCCCGGCCCCCTCCTGCCTCAGTTTCCCTTCCCCTCGCACAGCAGGGCAGGGTGGCACAGCTTCACCTCTGCAGGGAGCAGGGACGAGCATTCCCAGCTCCTCCTGCCACCATCAGGCCCCTCTCCCACCTCCCGCTGCTTTATCCAGGCACCTCCCCACCTGCTGCTGCTGCACCTTTGCCCCAAAATCGCCGTGTTTTAATCCAAA